TTTAGTGCCTTGATGAACTCGTTGGGGATAATGTGTCTGTTGCTTTTCGGTTTTCAGCCTTTTGATTTGCTTCTTCATTTCCATTCTAGTTATGGGGTCCATTATAGAGTGCTCTTCTCCTTTTTTGCTTTCAATGGTTTTTGTTCAGCTGTTAGCATCCTATGGAGTTCTCTTCAGATCTTATTGTTCTTGTTGTGTAAAACATCCAGTCAGCCAGGCTAGGTGGCGCAAGCTACCGCCCGTTAGAAAGGGTACCGGGTACTGCCACTAATCCAGCCGCTCCCGTTGAGCCGAACTCGAACTGCACGAGCTCGATTCGCCAGTAACCACGGAATATTGTCCCGTCTGAAGCGGACAGCCGACAGAACTAAGGCTATGGCTAAAGGAAATAAACAGATGAAGCTGAAGAAACGACGTGCCGAGTACGACCGTGCGCGACTTGCCAGAGAGACGCCCGAGAAGAGGGAGCGACGTCTGGCAAGGGGACGGGCGGCACAGCGAGCGCTGTCTGCTACGCCGGAAGGTCGCATGAAGTTACGAGAAATACGCATGAGACATTACTACAAGAAGCACGGCCGTCCATATGGTTCAAGAAAAGCCACTGCATACTCGGAAATGAGCGGTCCCAAGATGTGCACAGTCCTTTTCGGTAAGCGGCTGCTTCGTTCCCACTAGAAACTCACCCGTGTAGAATCGAGACGGCGTTCGCGCGGCGAATGGCAGCGGTCCTAAGCTTTCTCCTCTGCGGGTGTCACTTATGGGTTGGGAAGCGACGAAGGCGGGTGCCAGTGCCCCTTGCCCGTCTGGTTTTGCAGTTCACTACGGCGCATTTCCTGGCGCTCGCGATCTAAAAGCTCGTGTACCATCACAACAACACGGAAGAGGAATCATCATGTAAATATCCAAATAGAGTTTAACTAGTCACCGGGTCTTGAGAGAGTAGCACGCACCATTGCCTTCCCCCGGTATTGATGTCTTTGCCTGCTAGCCGGGCACAAACGGACGACCAAAGCCCAACAAGGCGATTGGCTAACCAGTCTGTTGCCATAGCAATCGCCATTTTGGCCCTTTCAGATCTAAACCAAAACCAAATTTGACGTTCGTGCTTATACAGTGAAGGGTTGCGCTATCGTGAGGTGCGGCAACACTGGTTTACACTGTAAATGAGAAATTTAACCAGCACAGTACGACTGCTAGCCTGGGGTCTTTACCATGCATCACACATTTATTGATATTGGTAATTATTGCACTTTGGGTGGGTAGGGACGTGCAGGGTGTGGTGGTGCTGCAAAAAGGCTGGCGCCCATGCATTAGGTATGCCTGCGACATGTCAACACGCGTGACCAGACGGCAGTACGATGTTCATCTAGATCGAAACGGGCAGGGGTGGGGGGATTGGACCCAAGATCCGTCGGTTCTGCAGCGCGAGCTTTTGCTTTATGTGCTCCGAGCTGCAGTGTGCTAACACACACGGCTACCAACTTCCTGTATTTCAAATCTTCAAAGCTTCGAAAGGGTAGTTCAGAACTAGTTGCAACAAGATTGCCCTGGAGCATCGTCCTTGCTGAAAGCGTTCCTTGCCAATAATTGTATGCTATCAACTTATCAATCATGCTTATCTCCACAGATTTCTTACAATGATGTACTGTCCTTGCGCATTCAAAGACAAATTATTTTTCAATGCTGCAAAGCACTGACACCGCATGTCTGCATGTTACCCCCACTACCCGGAGATCATCAAATTCTATATAAAAGAAAATTAAAATAAACATCGCCACTTTGTTGTTTGGCAGCAATTGTAAACGACCCTCGGAAAGTTCCCACTGGGTGCTGGAAGAACCATTCGGACCTTAACCTAAGATAAGCAGAAGAGGCTTCGTCCACACTGGAGGAAGGAGCAGAACTATAGCCCCTCTCTAACAAAATACTCGCAAGTGGTATAAAGTAATAAAATTGAGAGCTGGGCTAGTCAGTGAAAGTCAAACATAATGTAAATGCAAAAGCGCAAAACAAAAGGAAGACTAAAGAGAGGAACAAACAACACAGAGAGCTGTAAAAATATGTCTTGTGTTGTTCATTCGTTTCCCTAGTCTTCGTTGTTGTGCGCTGTTACAACTTACACCTACGTCATGTTTGCTATTTCCAAGCAAATGCTTGTGGTTATAGAAGTACGCGTTTCTCGCTGTCCGATTCTGTGATACTAGAAAAATTGTGCATTTATATAGTAGCGCCATTTTTCTCCAGGGTTTGGAGGCTGAGCTTTTCCAACAGATACGTTGCAACTAGGGGTGTCACAAACTTTCATTGAACCAGATTTTTACGTTGCAATCTCAAGGTTTCACTGGTTCCACCCCTGGTTCGACGAACCTTCTGACTTTTAACCGTGGACAGTGTGGCTAGACTGATACAAGCATATCTAGGTTTGGAGAAAATGGTTTGATGGGATAGGTTGTTTCATTTTATAAATAGTTAAAATTAACGGAACATAATTCTAATAGCATAAAAGTTAATAAAATAATTTATTCTTGCTATAGTACAAAAACAATCAAACAGTGCTGCCCTTATTAAAAGTAGAATGTTTGACTTGATCATTTGGTCATCACCATCCAATCCATAGCCAACTCAGCCAGCCCGTCGTGCATGTGCATAACAGTCAAATTTTCTCAAACTTTCCAATAAAAATTAGAAAAGGTTGAACCTGGTCGAACTCGAACCTCAACCAGTTCGCGACATCCCTAGTTGCAGCCCACATATGCCATTGAGCCTTGTTGGAAAACATAGTACAACACTTCACGCTCTCAATTTTTGCTCAGTACGTCCTCTCCAATATCCTCTTCGCCTTTCACTGCCTTGGTCGTGTTATCCCCCCCCCCCCTCCCCCCCCCCCTCGCCGTTTATGAGGCGATAGGATAAGGGGGTAAAGATGATTATCTTTCATACAGAAAACCAAGGTCATACGTCGGTGGTGGAGTTTGGAACTACATACCAACAAATACTTAAAGTACAAATGACAGAGTCACATTGCAACAGATTCACTGTACACAAAGGAGGATGCAAATCGATTTGTCAAGCCTTATATACTAGTGTTATGACAAAAACTCGGATGGCAACTCTGTCAAATGGCCTTGAGAAAAACTAATATTTTTATTATTCGGTTGATATCGGTTACCGGTAAATAATTTACGGTTACAATTAAGGTTCTCAGAAATTTTAAATAACGGTTTAGTTCGGTTCCTGAACATTTTTTGTTCCTAAACGGTTTTGGTCGAGTCCCTGCCTTCAACAGCTTGCCCTGTTATGAATTGACTTATCCAATGTTATACGAAAGCTTGTTTCACGTGTTAAAAAAAAAAGTATGTCAATCGGACAGATGAGCAGCCAAAAAATGTCTTTGTCCACAGACCCTGAACAGTTCACAGCAGTGGCAGTTGGGGACCCCCTTTGTGTTCAGTGTATATTACATGTGCTTTGTTTGTGTGTGCGTGCATGTTATGAACTTATGATGATTTAATATCTGATGGGCTTTGTGCGACGGCTGTTGGTCTCGCCAAGGAAAGCTTGGGTTTCTCTAGTACGTGCCTGTGGCCACTTCACACATTTGTGGGTAGTCACTCGAGTTCACTTCACGACTTCCAAACAATTTGTCAACTCGTTTCTCGGTGCTAATTTCTCGGCATTGTGTCTCTTTGAGACAATGCCGAGAAGAGCTTTGCAGAGAAGTATTTGCTAAGCTTATTGCAACTGTAGCAGACCACTGAATTTTATTGTGAATGGCCCAAGATATCACTCGCGATTATCAGCAGCAGCCGAAAAATATTTCTAAGTCGTCTGCTACGTCAAAAAATAGAGCACGACCGCAAAACATAGTCATCATCATCATCATTAAATTCGTAATTTTGATTACACTAAACCGTTTGCTTACACGTTAGGAATGCTAACTGTTCTCCATGGAACAAATTAGTCACGAAAACGATATATTTCATACCAGAACCAATTAAAGTTATGTTTAATTATCATCATCACCACCACAGGCGGGTCACGTGAATCTACCGCGTCCACGATTGGCTGCTGCCACTGCTGCCCCTTGAAATGTCTCCGACTTGTAGGAGCGAGTTGCTCGCCCAGCTGGGTTCGAACTCGCCTAGAACGAACCCCGTCTGAAGCGGGCAGCCGACAGGCATGAAGCTATGGCTAAACGGAAGCAGAAGAAGCGACCTGCCGAGTACGACCGTGCGCGACGTGCCAGAGAGACGCCGGAGGAGAGGGACAGGCGTTTGACTAGGGATAGGATAGCTCAGCGGGCCCGTTCTGCTACCGCGGAGGGTCGTATGAAGAGAAGAGAAGCCTGCAAACGATCGTACTACAAGAAGCAGGGCCGTCAATACGCCCAGAACGCCACTGCACTATCTAAAACGAGGGATCCCGAGAGACGCACAATCCTTTTCGGTAAGCGGCTGCTTTGATTTCCAGTAGGAACTTGCCTCTCTGCAGCGCGGCGAGGTTATCCACTGAATACCGACCAATGTTCGTACCGACGGCGCTTGTGCGGCGAATGGCATCGATTCGTAGATTTCTCCTCTGCGGACGTCGCTTTTCAGTTGATAAGCGCAATCCTGTGTCGTCAGAAACCTTTCCTGGCGCTTGCGGCATAAAGGCTCGCGGACCTTCGTGACAACAGCACAGAAGATGACAGTGAGCCCACGTACATATTCAAATATCCACCCTGGCGTCCTTGCGTGTCCACGCCATCCACGAGTTTGGGGTTTCTGGGTTTCACGAAGCAGGCCGCGTCACAGCGTCGGCAGCGTGCTGCACGAAGCACGCGATCGGGAATGGAACGAACGGTAGCGGATGGATGTATTGACAACGCTTTGTAACGGGCGGTAGCTCGCGCCATCTGGACTAATAACGAAAGCGATAGTTTTTCTATTAAAAATAGCGCAAAAAAGACGGGACAAAAAGACGAAGCACACAGGACAAGCGCATGTCCTGTGTGCTTCTTCGTCTCTTTGTCCCGTCTTTTTTACGCTGTTTTTAATATGAACGTCCAGTACCAACTTGGCCAGCGGACCAAGCTTTTACGATAGTTTTCTATGTATTGTTTTGCGTGTAGGTGGTTTCAGATCAGTGAGCATCTTGACCGCCATTTAAAGATATATACAACATTATTACCGTGTTGCTTTGCCTTATTAGTGAAAGAAATTTGCAATTTCTAGCGGTGATGATGATGCGTGTGAACACGGGATTCCCACGTCGTTGGTGTGTTGCGCTGATCGTGCCGAGGGTGTCGGCGTTGCGATGTCGAAGCGGCGGGGAAAGATGGGACGTCTAAAGCCGATCTAAGCGTAGGGGAAGAAGACGTTCAAGACGATTGGAATCCGAAGGAGCCTGAAATGACGCAGCAAATATTGGCAGTGGTAGGGTAAGAGACAAACCACTCTCCGCTTTCGTTTCTTCCCCTACGCTTAGGTCGTTGCAGCAGCTGTGGTTTTCAACAGTTACAAATTATGTAGGACGCCCATCGCATCGGCATGATGGAGCTACGGAGCACGATGCAGCACAAAGAGATTCCCTCGACGCCTACCCCCAAAACGAGCACAGCGAAATCGGCCGCAGAGCGAATGAAGGAGTACCGCCAACGAAAGAGGGTTCCCAAAACCAGCGTTGCGAAATCGGCCGCGCAGCGAATGAGAGAGTACCGTGAACGAAAGAGGGTTCTTAACGTTCCCAAAGCCACCGTAGCGAAATCGGCCGCCGAGCGATCGAGGGAATACCGCCGACGGAAGAAGCAAGCAAAGGAGTTGTCGTCGCCAGCGAAGCAGACGAAATCGAGCGCGCAGGTGAACAAGGAGTACCGCGTTCGCAAGAAGTTGTTGGAGTCGACGGCCAGTACGTCTCAACCGAAACAGAGCAGGTCGACGACAGAGGTGAACAGAGAGGACCGGGAGTGCAAGAAATTACTCCGTATGGCGATTTTGTCAGGTATGACCAAAGTACTGCCGGAATCTTGTACCGTTACTGTGTGAGCTGCAAACATCTCGGTCGCGAGTTCTTCCTTCGTTGTACGTAGCATGTCCGTCAGTTTCAAGTCGACAAAAACAACCTGCTTTTCGAACCATCTCATCATCCCTTTTTCGAAGGCTTGTTCGTAAAGAACAGAAACATTTCCGAAAGCTGTAGAAAAGGCAAGCCAGCCATTACTATGACTATAGTCTGTTCACCCTTAGGTTGAGACTAGAGCATAAAGGCTGGTTCACACATTTGCGACTGATAGTGTTCGCCCGTCGTAAGTGGTTGCAGCGAGAGCTGAGCAGCAGGGGGCATTGGCGTTCGTTTTGTTTGCTTCGCAATCGGAAGGCGACATCTGACTAGAAAAAAGCTATGAATTGCTGGCGGGTAAAACCGTCTCCGCATAATCGAATTTGGAGCGCGCGCTTGCCCACAGGGGCGGGGGTGCCCTGCTTGAGCCGGTAAGCTCCTTTTTTTTTTTTTTCTATTCACAGGGGAAAAAAATGAAGTAAGCTGTCTGTTTAGTGCTGGCACTCCCAGATGGCACCACAATAGAGCCAAAAAGCTTCAAAGTGTTTTTTTGGAAATAATGTTTAATGGCAGATGCAGCAGATCCAAGCTTGTGTGGTATAGTCTGAGTAGCAGCGTCAACCGGACGTTTTGTTTTTTTTTCTGTACAAAAAAATGGCACTTTTTTTTATCCCTTGAGAGGTGTACTTGCCAACTTTTGATATGATAAATGCACTGCCTAAAGACTTTTGTGGAAAGTTTCATTGTACTCCGTTCATTGGCTTACTTATACGAGTTATTGTTACGCTGGAATAGTGCTTGGGGACAATTCATAGATCTGCTATCACCTGCTAAATTCACCATCTTTGGAAATCGCCGGTTCAGGAGGTTCTGATATGAAAATGCATCAACACATACATGCTCGCGCAAGCGCAGGCACTCCCTCGGCCAAGGAACCTCCATTGAGCTGCAGCGACCTAGATTGTGCTCCAATAACTTCCTTTTGTGCTTGTCATTGCTTCCCTTTTGCTGACAAGTTCGTTCAAAGATGTACACTTCTTCCCTCTCCTTTCTGGTGCGCACATTGTTTCGTCCTGGAAACCTCGAACCCTGTTTTCTGCGGAGTGGCACCAGTTCTTTCGAAAACAGCAGATTAAGGTTATTGCTGGCACGTACGTCACAAATGAGGCAGATGCCTCGTTTGTAACAACAGTAAAAAGTATTTTTCAGATTTTTTCATATATTGAACAGGTGTTGTTGTTATATGTTGGAAACAGCTAGCTAATTTAGCTGTTTCCAAGATTGCAAGCACCATTGCCCGCATTGTTTTTTTTTTTTGTTGTTTTTTTTTACCTCTGTATATTGTCACAGATGATAATTGGTGAGGCAGCGAATGACTGAAGGAAGCTAATCGTTTAATGGGGCGAACTTGTGCCCACAACAAAATAGAAAAAGGCTAGTGTCGCAGGCATCAGTGTCGGCTAAAAAGCAAGGGTTTGGTCCGTAGAATGTTCGGACAATCGAACAAGCAACGAACGGTGTTCTCAAATTTACCAGAACGTGACATTTACAGAACCAACAAAGAGGTACATCCGCAGCCAGGCATCGAACCTCGCCCCTTTGCGTGAAGGCCCAAGCATGATAACCATTCGGCCACCGGTGCGTTTGCTCGGAGACGCGCATGGCAGTATGACCATTTCTGCGTAAACTGGGTACTTTGTCATTTAATTTAAGCACAACAAAACGAGGCTTTGAAATTTTAATTCAGGCAGATCGATTATTAGTTTCAAGATGACGAAAAAGTATTGTAGCTAACTAAAATAAAAATAAAAACTGTAGTTTTTTTTTTTTTTTAAATTAAAAATGGAATTTTTTAGTGTTTGAATTTTACTGTAAGATAGACTTGGGTTAATGTGTAATTGGGCACCAACAAATTTCTTTAGTACTATGCAGCAGTTATTTTACTTTGTATTTCTAAATGACATGAAGTTTTATGTAAATTTTAGGAATTAAAAACATAACACCAGCAAAAATGTTTTTTTTTTTTTAATTTAAAGGCATTTTTATCTAGATTATTTTTTTCATTCATGTTCTAAACGTGAAAAAATCGCCATGTCTTCTTGCATGGAATGACCCGACGTAGATGAGAGGCTTAGCCAGTGCAGTACTGCTGCTAGCCTTGGTCTTTAATGTGCTTCACACAGTAGTTATACATACCATTAAGCTATGCTCTTCTAGATAGAAACGGGCAGGGGTGGGAATCGAACCCAGGATCCTAGGGCTCTGCAGCGCGGGCTTTCACTCCACCTGCTCAGAGCTGCGGTGTGCCAACACGGTCGGCCACCGATCCCCATGAAGCGCAGCAACGACGCTTCGGGAATGTTGACCTCTGCATTTAGACTTTTCTCACATTGATGAATGGATTTGGGCTCTACTTGTAATTTAAGGGGTAAGAAAAAAAAAACGTAGTTGTGGTCCTTCTTCCAGATCAGCCGTCTCACGCAGCTGCCCATCCGGACTATGCGCCTAACCTCCTGAACGAACCTGCCCCCGACTTGCGAGTTCTGATGTGCATCCGGAAGGCATTGCAGAGGGAACCACCAAAGGCAATCGGTTTGTCAAACAATGTTTCATTGACGGACAGTTTCGTTGATGCGCAACATTTCGTCGACAGTTTGTTTCGTAAAGACGTACCCGCATTCATTTCCTCGACGCATTGCGAAGCTTCGTCGACGGCTTTTTTTCCGTGTACATCGCCTTGGTTTCCAGCACCCCGATGGTTGCCTAGCTTGCCGAACCCTCGGTGGTTCAAACAAGGCCTGGCACATGCTCGACCCTAAAATTGTGATCCGTTTTCCCCGTGCAAAGCAATGCGAGAGGTGACTGCGTGTGGCGCAGCCCGTCTGAAAAACTAAAATTAGGGATTGAGGATTTCTTGTTGCATCATGTTGGAGCTACCTGGGTGGCTCTCTTATAATTTTGGAATGCTAGCGAGCAAGGTGTAGCGAGTCATACAATCTGATCCACCTAACAAAAGCATTATTGTCGAAACGTCACGAGAGCGAACGAATTTTCACAAAATGTCAGTGTCGACAGAAGTTGTCTGCGAAACATGTCTCCACGGGATGATGCGGGGCCTTCTTTCGCAGGTACCAGCGATACCCAGCCCTCCGCAGCTCTGCAGCCCTACGACAGTGGGATCCAAGGTTCGAACTTAGCTTTTACTGACATCACGGTTGCGTGAAACATATAGGGTATCTGAAGCCACCACGCTCGATCTAAAATGAGCCGTAACAATCGGCGCCTGCACGTAGCAATCTAAACTTTTCTTCAAAGGTGTATTTCGTAGGTCAGCTTTCTCATGTAAAATTACAAAGCGTAGCTCCCTTTCTGTAAAAAATGGGGCCAAAAAACTTGCCAGAGTCAATGGCAGGCTGCGACGCAGACGACCCAGTCGAATGGCGGGCCCAGTTTGGTAAATGTATTGATGGATGGCTCTACCTCCTTATCGAGACTGCTTGCAATGACCGTGGTGTACCAAAATAAACATAATCTTTTTGTAATGTACCAAAACTTGAAGTAAAACATGGTTGCATAACGACGGCACTTTTGCTGCCGGCAGATTTCGTCTGCATGTTGTCTGCTTTCATTCACTGGCTGGCTACACCTTTCGACGCTGCTCCCAATGGCGTCTACCAATGAGTGTGCCAAACGCACCCCACCACTCGACTTGGTCATCTTCGTCGCCGCCCTTCGTTGACGCCGACAAGTTTTTGCTACGCTTTGTAATTTTGCGCGATAAAACAGACCTGTGAAATGCACCTGTCACGAAAATTTTAGATTGCTGCATGCAGGTGCCGATTTTTACGGCCCATTTTAGATAGAGCCTGGTGACTTGAGACACCCTATATATGTTAAGTCAATGCAAGGTTGCACGCTATCTGGTCAAAAACTGACATCGTGTTGTCCTGTCTTTCTGTTTCTCTGCTCTTTAAGGTTAAAAGATTTTCATGTTGAGTTACCTCTGAGGTAATTAAAGCTGAGAAACGATCAACATTTTTACCCTCATAACTTGCCCCAGGTTCAAGCAGTGAAATGGAGGCTGCTGGCCGAGAGAACTTGTCTTCCCTGTCTTCCGTCCACAAGTTGGCAAGAAAAGTCGAAAAAGACCAAGCAGAGGTAGTGAAAGCAGGTATGCTTATTGCTGATCCTTTGACCTTGTGTACCTCTTAAGGTGGCTGCTCTCAGTTTGCTCAATTTGTCTTGCCGCACGTCGTCCGCTAATGAAACCACATGTTGTCAAGCACTATTTAAGGTCATGTCAGTGACGAAGTCTGCTGGTATTACCTCTAGAATGTTTGAAGTGCAAAACTGTCTGCATTGGTACTTCCATCCTTTGAATGCGTTCTTGCACAAACGAAACCATAGATGAAGGTACGCTCTTGCACCAGTAGCATTGTCAGTGTTGTATGCTACCGTATTTTCCGGACTATAAGTCGCACATCCGATATTGAATGGTTTTCGTGGGAAAGTTGGTATATAAGTCGCATCTCCCTGCACGGTTCACGTGAGTTCTTTAGTTTACGCGCGTTGGTATCACGAAATCGGTGTTTTGCACAATTGCTAGATCGTACATACTGTTTGACGCACATTTCGACTCGTGAGAAATTCCTACTGTATGGTGCTGTCTGGCGGGGGCAATGAAGTGTTTCGCAGCAAAAGGACGTAAAGTGCGCTAAATGAGAGGGTCGTCGACTTTGTTCGAGCGAACGCATGGCGAGAGAACGAAAGTGCACCTAGACACTCGCGAACCAAGCTTTGGAGCACTAGGCCTAGCCAAGACCAAGTCCCGGAGACGACGCGAGCATCGATGCGCAGGCAGAAAGATAATCCTTGACATAGTTTTTTTGTACCTATAAAAGACCGGCTAGCCGCAATCCTTCCTTTTACATGTAGCAACACGGCTGGAGCATGGCACATAAAAACTGCTCATCAAACGGAAACTAAGAAAGACAAAATATTCTGCAATGCGTGTATACCGGCCCACTTACTTTTCAGTGTTACTGAACTGAAGCAAAATAATATGGAACCATGGCTTAACTAGGCAACATCAATAACATGCTATAAAAGCTATATTCTCACTGTCTTGCCTATATACATTGAGCCGCTTTGGGGAAACCATAAAAGTTAATATATCTCGCATTCCGAGTTAAATTAATGCGGTGATAGCAGTGCCTCCTGGAGGGGGAAACACCACCCATGGCTACGTATTTATGGTGCTTTACAAAAAATGGCACATGCGGCGTAAAAAAAAAAATAGCGTCGCACCTAAAAAAAAAAAAAAAAAAAAAACTGAAATAAGTTGCTTTGTTGTATAAGTCGCACCAAGCAAAATGTTTGAAAAAAAACGCGACTTATACACCGGAAAATAGGTAAGTGTAAAACATACCTTCGTCAAGCTCAATAACTCAAACAGGCCGCTGGACACGTTGTCAAGGACATCTCTTGGGTTTTAGAAGTTGCCGTCAACAAAATAATAACCTGCTATGCATTTGCAGAATGCATGAAGAATGGTCGGGTCTTTCTTTATCAACAGCAGATGTTTGTAATGGCTGGTGCTCACCGATGATCGACAGGTGCTATTAATGTAGCAAGTGCTTTCATTGGTGGCCATAGAACATGTTTCATGAAGTGTCTCCTTTTAAATTGAATTCTCTCAGATTCCGGTTTGTTGAAAAAGGGCAGTGTCGGCTAAGTATCTTCCCACATTGGCTTCTGGTAACCTAGAGTGTTCATTTAAATCGCTTTGTCATCCTTGAGCATCTAATGCATTGACAAAAGTGGAGCATGTTGCAGTAACGTGGACTAACTTAAAAGGTACCAAGCAACAATATTGGGCATGCGGCGCCACTGACGAAGAGGCTTTTTTGTCTCCGCATAATTTCAAAGATAAAAGCAAACTTCTTTCGGTCTCTTCTTTGCAAAACCTAATGACGAAGTTGTGGGGATCTAATTGTAGGCATTGTCAACAATGCGTGAATGTGGCTCATGTGTTTTCACGAAACGACACAAATCCTTCTCTTGCAGCTGCCAGCCAGACCCAACCCTCCGCAGCTCTACAGCCACACAACTGTAAAGCCCAAGGTTCGAGCTTTGCTTTTACAGACCTCATAGGCTGAAGTCTTTAAATCTGTTGCATCACCTCTAATGTATTTGAGACTGTGAAACCATCAGCATTGATTGCTACCTTGCCAACCTACCCCAGGTTCGAGTAACGAAACGGAAGCTGCCAGCCAGGACAGCTCGTCTTCCCTCAACGAGTTGGCGAGGCGACTCAAAGAGGACCAGACAGAGGAAGTGGAAGCAGGTACGCTCATTGCTGACCTTTTGACCTTGAGTCCCTATTACGGCAGGGATCGGTGTCAGCGATCTCCACGTCGGAGCTTGTGGAACGAAAGCTAGTGCTGCGGAACCCAGTGATCCCAGGGTTCAATTTCCACCCCTGCCCATGTCCATCTGAATGAGCATTGTACCCAGGGTGTCTGGCGGCCGGCAAAACCGGGAATTGTCAGGGAAATTTGAATTACCGGGAAAAATCAGGGAATTGTCAGGGATATTGTCAAAAAGCGAGCCCAGTCAGGGAAAACGAGCCGGAAACATCATAGAGTGTCCTGAGCAAAGACTTGAGGACTTGGGAACAGAAACATAGGCAATAAATTCAGCTTAGAGCGGAGCCCAGGCTCTGCTCACCCGACGTAGAGTGTGCTACCCAATGCAAAGGGAACGGCCGACAAACCCAGTCAAGCCTTGGATTGGATTGGATTGAGGGTGCAACACTAGGCTAAATCCAGTTAGAGCTACTAGATTTAGTAACAAATGGGAAAGCCGCAGACCTCAATTCAATCCAAGCCGAAAGTATCCGAAAGTGTCCATTTGGCGGCCATGCTGCCATTCAGTTATTAACAGGGCGTGTCTGGTTGAGCATCGTGTTCTCATCGTGTTTCCGGAAGTGGCCTCTTCACTAACAATGTCGGCGGCAGAAAAGGGCTCATTTAATCCAGACTTGACGAACCCGAATATTTTGGAATGTGAAAGTTGGATTAAGCCCGTGCCAAATGATCCTCACAGTGCTCAATGCTCGATGCCTTGTGTTGTAATGGTCTTATGTACCATTATATAACCATCTTAAAGGGAGATTTCAGATAAGATCGAACATACAGTGGCCGATCAACCTTTTTAATATGCTTCATAATTTTATATTTTATTTCTCGGTGCCCAAGACACACAAAATCATAATTATTATAAAAAAAATTATTAGACGCAAGAAAGAGTAGATTATGAGGAAATGGAAAATCACATTCATGTGCATAGCCGGAGTGGTCGAATTTGGCAGTAAATAAAACGGAAGGTATAGTACTTAGTGAGTTTCATAATTTTCGAACGCAATCTGCATATACCTACCGTAGAATACCGCGCATCCGCCCATTCCACATTAAGCGCCCATTACCAAATTTGTAAGATCTGAGAAAATATGCACAGCACATATGTATATGTAAAATTGATGACCAGACAAGCGCCCATCCCCCATCTTTTTGCGATTATCTCCAAAGTTTAAGTGGGCGCTTGCCCAGTATTTTACGGTAACCTTATGAAAAGTATTGTTATTGGGTTTTTTTTTTTTTTTTTTTTAAATATAAAAAATGGCAATTTTGGCTGCTTCGTTTTCCTCACAAATTCGCAGGCCTGTATCTTAGAAAATAATTGTTTCACAAGCATAATATTTTGACACAATAATAATTCTCTTTTGTTTAACAGTTGTGGTTTTATCACATTTTTTTTTAAATCTAGTAGTGTGACAACAGTCTTGAAGATCGGAACTACAGCGCCATCTAGTGAAAAGATATGCAAATTTATTTATTTATTTATTTAAAATACCCTCAAGGCCATTGGCATTACAGAGGGGAGTGGGGGTTAGTGGCAGTAGTACACTTCGCAGCTCAATCTGAGCAGTATAGATTATTTATGGCAGTCCTAAATAAATGGTCAGGAACAATTGTTGCGATGAATGCGGGAAGGTGGTTCCAATCCACTGAAGTTTTCGGAATGAATGACTCTTGGAATGCATTAGTGTTGCATTTTAGAATGTCTACTTTATACATATGATCAATGCGAGGTGAAATATAAGAAGGTTGATTCAGCAGTCGGTTGTGAAGTAATGAGTTAGTATGGTATATCTTATGAAAAAGACATAAGCGAGCTATTTTACGACGTAAATTGAGGTTAGGCAACAGTAGGCTAGTTTTCATTGAGCTCACGCTTGCGGTGCGATGAAAGTTATTAAGAATAAAACGAGCAGAGCGATTCTGAACTAATTCCAGGGCGTTAGTTAGTTTGGAATGACCGGGGTCCCAGATAGAAGAAGCATATTGTAATTTAGAGCGTACACGCGTTTTGTACAGAGTTAGTTTCAAAGATGAAGGGGCAAGTGAAAAGTTTCCTTTTAGATAACCCAGCATTCGATTAGCGTTATTAATAACATACTCAACATGCATTTGCCAGGAAATATCTGAGGTTATATACACGCCAAAGTATTTATAAGAAGAGACAGAATGTAAGGGGTGACAAAAAAAATGTCTTGCGCGCAAATACCAAGAATGGCGAAAAATGTAGATAAGTGTTTTTCTCTTGCCAATAATATTATACGATAGGTGAGCGTTTTACTTGAGGCTATCGTTTGCGCAGATATTATTGACATTTTATAGTGATCAATGGAGGTTAAGCAAGGGAACCACCTTCAGACTTTTGCCTGGTGTTGCCCACAGGCAACAAAGCTATGCGGAGTGCAAGTTCGTCTGCTTCTTGTACAGGGGTTGCGTTGATGTCAAAACGGCGGGCTGTTGTTGACTGATTTTAAAAAGCATAGCGGGTAGACCTCAAGCCATCTAGCATTGAGGTCTACCCACTGTCCTTCCAATCAGATCCAATCAGAACTTGGCGCCATTCTGATGTCGCCGCAACCCCTGCGCAAGAAGCAGACGACTTGCTCTCTGCGTAACTTTTAAGTTTACCTTACGATTTTTTGTTATTTCAGCTCTGTTGTTTCATTTGATTTTGTTAAACATTATAAGAAACTAAATGTTTTGAACAGTTGTTGTATATCTCTTCAATAAAGGGTTAGAGAAGATGTGGATTAAGTATCAAGCATAAGCATGACGCGTGCCAAAACAAAGATCAGAAAGCAATGTCCCGACGCCCACAAGTGCCTTCAATTGCTTTTTAAATTGGATTAAAGAGCAGTTAAATGTACCCAGGGCTCCCAGCATGGCATTTGTACTGCTCTGGCCTGAATGCCACTGCACCAGCTCACATGGTCTCACCCTGTACCAGCAAAATGAAAGAACACGAGAATTTCGTTTCAGGTGCCGAGGACGCCGATCAGCCGACAAAAGAAAACCCTTCAGCAGAGCCGCAGGTTTCGCCCGAAACCCTTCGCCACGTCAAAGACAACCTTCAAAGGCACCTGCTCAAGCTTAAAAAGAAACGAAAAAAACAGTGACCTTTTAATTATGTACAGATGTTCTCATCCTCAAGCTGCAGAGAATGCACCTCGAGTTAGATTCATTTCAAATACCATCCTAATGCATGTTTATGCCAATTTTTATTTTTTTATTTTACTCAAGATGCATATTACTTTTTTATGAGAAGTTGTAAATAGAGTCAGTTATTGCAGTGATGTGTAAAACTGTGCACAATATTGAAATTGTTGAAGTATGCCAAATAAAAATATTGCTGAAATGAGGCACTGTCAGAGTTGGAGCCGCCACAAATCTGGGCCAGTGGTGTCCACTGGTGGCAGCCTTTGTGCAGCGCCTAGAGCTCTAGCCCTGTCGTTCATAGGCCTCCGGAATGAAGGGGAAGTTTTAGAACCCTATCCTTCTCATTTTTTATACAAACTGTGTGCACAACTGAACATGCGAGGCTGCTTATCTTCCTTCCAGCACACTCGTGGCACAAATATGTGCTCTGCCAGGGCAGTGGCAGTCAGTTTGTGAACGTTTCATTAACAGCTTGTTTAGTCGGCACGAGTTCGCATTTGGTTGATGGACATGTCTTGCTACCTTTTATTGACTTCTTTCTCGCAACCTCTCGTTGCAGATCCGCAGTCCGATTCTGCAACTCCAGAAAAATTGTGCATTTACATAGTAGCGCCATTTTTCACCGGGGTTCGGAGGCGGAGCTTCTCCTACAGATACAGATGTATGTGGGCAACTAGGGATGCCACAAACTTTCGTCGAGCTGGACTTTTATGTCGAATCTCAAGGTTCGACCGGTTCTATGAACCTTCTTACTTCTAACCGTGGACAGTGTGGCTAGACATACAAGCATGTCTAGGTTTGGAGAAAATGTTTCTATGGGATAGGTTATTTCATATTATAAATAGTTACAATCAACAGAAATTAATTCTAATAACTTTAACATTGATAACATAATTTATTCTTGCTCTAGTACCATAACAACCAAACAGTGCTGCCCTTATTACAAGTAGAATGTTTGACTTGATCATTACCATCCAATAAACCCAACTGAGGCAGCCCATCACGCATGCGCATAAGTCAAACTTTCTCGAACCTTCCAATAAAAGTTAGAAAAAGTCGAACATAATTGAACTTGAACCTCACCCGGTTCACGACCTCCCTAGTTGCAGCACACATCGCATTGAGCCTTGTTGGAAGACTTACTACAACTAGGAATGTCGCGAACTTTTGTCAAACCGGATTTTTAGGTCGAACTTTCGGGGTTCGACGAACCTTCGACCTTTCAACCAGATTTAACTGGTTCGACTTTGTAGACAGTGCGGCGAGACCTTGATTCAGGCATGTCTAGGTTTGGAGAATTTTTTTTTTTACACAAATGGTTATTTTAATTTAACGATCAAACTTTTCACAAGAAGTTTGAAAAAGTCAAACCTAGTCGAACTGGAACCTCGATTGGTTTGCGACATTTTGCTCAGTACGTCCTTTCCCACACCCTCTTTGGCTTTAGGTTGCTGTGGTCGTATTATCCCCCCTCACCATTTATGAGGTGATTGGACACGGGCTAAGGTGATTATTTTTTCTTGTAGAAGACCGAGGTCGTACGTCGGTGGTGGAGTTAAGAGCTACAAACCGACCAATGCTGAAAGGACAAAAAACAGTCTCATTGTAAAAGATTCACTGTACACAAAGGGCGACGCAACTCGATTCATCAAGCCTTTATATTAGCGTTATGACGGTAACTGGCAGCAACTCTGTCAGATGACCACAACATTTTAAGACTCATTTTTATTTTTCAATTAATACTGGTTGCCGGTAAATAATTTACGGTTAAGATTACGGCTTTCATAAATTTTGAATAACGGTGTAGTTCTGGTTACGGTTACTGAAAGAATTTTGTTCCTAAATGGTTTTCGGTCTCGGTCGAGTCCCTGCCTTCAACAGGTTGCCCCGTTATGAATTAACGTATCCGACGTTATAAAAAAAAGCTTGTTTCACGTGTTAAAAAGATAGTATGTCAATCGGACAGATGAGCAGCCTAAAAAATGTCTTTGTCCGCAGACTCTGAACAGTCCACGGCAGTGGCACTTGGACCCCTTTTGTGTTCAGTGTATTTTACATGTGCCTTGTTTGTATGTGCGTGCATGTTATGAACCTAAGATAATATCTGATGGGCTTTGAGCGACGGCTGCTGGTATCGCCAAGGAAAGCTCGGAGTTTCTCAAGTACATATCTGGCTGTAGCCTGTGGCCGCCTCACACACTCATGGGTAGTCACTTGAGTTCACATCACGACTTCCGAACAATTTGTCAACTCGTTTCTCGGTGCTAATTTTTCGGTGTTGTGTCTCTTTGAGACAATGCCGAGAAGAGCTTTGCAGAGAAGCATTTGCAAAGCTTATCGCAACAGTAGCAGACCACTGGATTGTAGCTGTGAATGTGACGTGTGGTAAAATAGAGCCAAAGGTATCGCACACGATTAGCAGCAGCAGCCGAAAAATATTTGAAAGTCGTCTGCTACATAAAAAAGTAACACTCGACTGCAAAACAGTCATCATCATCATTAAATTCGTAATTTTGATTGCACTATTTAGATGCAGTAAAAACGTCTGTTTATACGTTGGTAATGCTAACTGTTCTCCATGGAACAAATTAGTCACGAAAACGATAAATTTCATACAAGAACCAATTAATTCTGTTTAGTTATCATCATCATCACCACCACAAGCGGGTCACGTGAGTATTGTAGCGGCGGTAGCAGCGGTAGCGGCGAGTAGCTCGACTGGGTCGACCGTTTCCAGCTGGGCTCGAGCTCGCCTGGAACCGCTGGAACCCCGAAATCTGACGCGGGTAGCCGACAGGCATGAGGCTATGGCTAAATGGAAGCAGAAGAAGCGACCTGCCGAGTATGACCGTGCGCGACGTGCCAGAGAGATCGAGTATGACCGTGCGAGACGTGCCAGAGAGACTCCGGAGGAGAGGGAGAGGCGTTTGGCTAGGAATAGGATAGCACAGCGGGTCCGCTCTGCTACCGAGGAGGGTCGTATGAAGAGAAGAGAATCCTGTAGACGATCGTACTATAAGAAGAAGCAGAGCCGTCAATACGCCCAGAACAACGCCCCTGCACTATCTAAAACGAGTGGTCTCAAGAGACGCACAATCCTTTTCGGTAAGCGGCTACTTTGATTTCCAGTAGAAACTCGCCTGTGTAGAAGTGCAATGTGCAAACTCGCCAGCGCGGCGAAGTTACCCACTGACTGAGTACCGACAACGGTGGAAGAAATACACTTAGGTGATGACTGGCTGCCCTTTCCGCGGGTAGCGAGCGACCAGATCGTGTTCGAAGGTAGCCTCGAACCAGGAGTACTTGCGAGACCGGTTATAACGAAATAGCGGCTACAGCGAAGCGATCATGATTTTCTATTCCCTTTTGCACTTCGTTATAAACGAAGTTGGTTATAACGAAATAGCGAATATAGCGAAGTGATTTCCGATTCCCGTTGACTTCGTTATAACCGGTCTCACCAGTAGTTAGTTCCGCGCCGCCGCGGAGGGCGCTGAGGTATGGGGTCCCTCCTTGGCGGCCACGGTGTCGGCGGGGTAGCGTGCTCGCCTTTTTCGCGGTGTGATGGTTTGGTGGTGGTGTACGGCCGCTGGCTGGCCTCGTGTTTTGCTTTGGCGCTGCGTCGATCACAGGTGTCACCATCGTGCTCGAAGGTGAGCCTTAACCTGCAGAAGAACAACAAAGAGAACACAGATTTACGGACTTTGGCGACTTGGTGGCGGCGTGGCGAAGATGAGGTACAACAAGAAGCGGTGAGCAAGAGAATGCGGGACCACCGCTGGGAGCAACAACCGGAGCAGTCGGCTTGGGAGAGATTCCATACTTGAGTGCCATCTATCCCCGTGCGAGTGCAGCGCATTTGGTGTGCCAAACAATGTTGCCGCCGCGTCGGACAGAGAGTCATCACCTAAATGTGTTTCTTCCACCGTGAATAAAACGAGAAGCGGTGAGCGAGAAAATGCGGGGCCACTGCTGGGAGAAACAACTGGAGCAGTCGGTTTGGGACGGACCCGATCCTCGGGCGCCATCTATCCCCGTGCGAGATAGGCGCTTGGTGCGCCGAACATAATATTGCCACGTCGGACAGAGAGTCGTCACCTAAATGTTTCTTCCACCGTGGTACTGACCAATGTTCATACCAACAGCGCTTGTGCAGCGAATGGCGGTGATACATAGATTTCTCCTCTGCGGATGTCGATTTTCAGTTGGAAAGCAGTCTTGTGTCATCCGAAACCTTTCCTGAAGCACTCCATCGTCTGCTTCAGCAACATCTGGCACTTTCACGTTTACCATGGACCGTTTGCGCAGAAGCTTGTTTGCTTCATATACACGTATGCTTCGGACATGTCTAAAAGGCAATTCTTGTACGGCTAATATGTGATAGGACCATCGTACGAGACTGAGTGCCCCTCGTGCAGTGTCTGCAGGTCGTCTTTTCTATGGTGTATTAGCAGCGTTACCGTGGTTTAGGTCTTAAAGGCTGGTTCACACGTTTGTGACTAAGGGTGTTCACCTGTCGTGAGCGAGCACAGTGACAACCGAGCAGCAGGCGGCATGGTCGTTCACTTTGTTTGCTTTGCAACCGGAAGGCGACATCTGTTGAGGAGAAATCCATGAATTACTGGGTGGGTCAAACTGTCGACGCACAATCGAATTTGCAGCGCGTACTTGCCAAAAGGGGGCCCCTGCTAGAAACAACGTACAAGGATTTCTCGAGCGCTATTTGGGCGCAAAAAAATATGATGTATTAATAAGCCAACAAACGGAGTGAAATGGAACTTTCCACGAGGGTGTATTTAGGTAAGGTGTTTATCATAGCTAAATTTTGTGTGTGTAGGTTTCTGAAAAACAAAAAAAGACTCGAGCTGGAAAACTCGCTTTTTCTTTTCTATGCACAGGGGAAAAAAATGAAAGTAAGCTGTCTGCTTATTGCTGGCACTGTCTGATGGCATCATAGTAGAACCAAAAAACTTAAAAGTGTTTTTGGAAAGAACATTTAGTGGCAGATGCAGCAGATTCAAGCTTGTCTGTTAGTGGTGGCATGAACCGTACAGTTTGTTTCTGTTTTTCCCTGTACAAAAGAATGAAATTTTTTTTTATCCTCCGAGAGCCCTACTTGCTAACTTTGGATGTGATAAATGCGCCGCTAAAAGCTCTTTTGTGGAAAGCGTCATTGTACTTCGCTCATTGGCTTACTTATAC